GTTATGTCTCAACAATCTTTATTTCTAATGTCCAATTATTGGTCCTACCGGGTGTGCCAATTTGTTTCCAGTGATTTCTGGTAAACAACCGCTAGTCTTCCAAACTATCGAATAAACTTACTGACTGTTATTCAATTTCTCTGGTAACTCGCAGGATCGACTAGATTGATCCTAGGACTTGTTGGTCATTAGGATAACTCTCATGATCGAACAGGTATTCATGGTTGGTATTTAGAGTGTTGTGTAGGTGTTTGACTTATTTCGATTTTCTCTTAGAGATCTAAAGGTATAATCAAAATATATGTGCGCGAAACTAAATTGCATGAATAAATGTTAATTGTAAAGACATGTAAAATTGCATAAAAGATAAGTAAATGGCTTCGAAACTTAAAACAAAACAGTTAATGTAAAAGATTTGAAATGCGAAGAAAGCGTTTAATGCAAGAAATCTGTAAAATGACTTTAAGTAAAAATAGGCGTTCGAAGGATAAAAACTTGAGGACAAAGGCGTGAAAAGTATGACAGTTTCTGAAATATAAAGTGTTTGAAATGTAAAGAAAGCATTTAAATGTAAGGCATCAATGAAAAGATTTCGAATAAAAAGACTTTAGATGCAAAAAACTTGCAAATGGTATTGATACAAAGACAAAGGAAAGCACTGGAAATGATAAAGGGTTTTCATTAAATCATAAACATGTGGTGCTATCATACGTACATTGCTCTTGCATTCGTTTCCCTAGCCATGTGGTAATTTGAATGTTTACTGAGTATTTTGTACAATAGATATGACACACGAAATCCTAATGCTAAGACTTCTATTTATACTACTTCGACCATAACGGTCTTGCTATAAGATTCTGCCACGTTCAGAACATGCAGAGCAATGCCTCTCTCTTACTTCCACGTGTCTTCGAATGCTCCAGCGCATATATTTCAAATTTCGAACATCCCGCTTGCATTTGAATTTCAAATGTTTTGGCACTTCTTCGCTTCGAACGCACTTCTTTAGACACAACCTTGTTATCATTTCGAGACTTCTTTAGATATGTTCCCATAATTGCCACTCGAAGCTCCAAGCTTTGATATGCTCATTCAAAACACTGCTTCTGCTATTTCGAAACATGACGCTTTGTTTCATTTCAATCGAAACGTCAAATTCACTTGGCTTCTAATAATATTATCAAAATCTTCAGCCAACAGTCATCCACTTTAGAAAATCTATCCACGATCACTTCCAACTCGGTTGTGATGGTAATACTCGATGTACCGTCTTTCGTAGATCCGTAGTAATCAAATCAGATTTTTTTCCAATGACCGTAGACTTTATCCATACGTACGGGGAAATTTAGCTTCATCTTCTTAGAAAGGAGACAAGCACATGGAAGCTTGTAGTTTTTCCTAATTTTACATCTACACTTTTAACTATTCGGCCCCGTTGTCTCGGCACACTTCGCTTCATAAAAAATAAAATTTAATCCCGCTCGGGATATGTTAAGATTCAACTGTGAGTAAATAATGTTATCTTTAAAACAATGTTCTATGACAATTATGCTCCTGCCAAAAGTTGTTTGAATTTCATTATGTTGGCTTTGGAGCATTTGGTTCACCGTTGTCTTCTTTCTTACATTCGAGGAATGTAAATCCAACCAAAAAGTATTATCCGTAGAAGTGACACCAACAATTTCTAGAAGCGGAAGCCTATACTTGTTGGTCTTATACGTTGAATCAATTATAAGAACAGTCGAAAATATGTTGAACAACTTGATACTTTTCGGATGAGTCCAAAAAATGTCACGAACACTAACTTTATCATCACACAATTTGTACCTTTAAATATAGTGGTTATCGTTCAAAAATTTCAACAACTGTTGCATTTCAGACCTCGGACCTCTACTCGCAATAATCAGTTTATAACGTTCCTTGTATACCTACTTGATATTTGAAACATTTTGTGGTCATTTCCGTTTCAAATCTGCAAGTATGTTTCTCGCTGCAACTTTGATTATCGAAATTTCTGAAATAATTTCCTTCTCCCCCGACTTAAGTCGACCTACAATTGGATGACCTTGTAGCTTGATGTCCAACACATGATAATGTTTACTGGAAATGACAGAAAACCGCCATGTATCATCCACCCTACATGATCTGCGCAATTTGAACGGACACTCACATTTTCTCGGTCTGTTGTCATCATGTTTTAAATTCTGAACTTTTGGAACATATTTTTCACTTCTCTCGCATCTCATGGTTACAAATGCTTGCCTTCTACTAGTGCCATTGTCAGACCTTCCAATCACAACACCAAAGCCGAGTTTGCTAGCTTCCATTCAGACCCAATCAAGCAAATATTTAAATATAACATTTAGCTAGAAACAATGTATTTTCGAACATGAATTTTTGAATTTACCCTAAAATTTGATTTTGGATACTTTCAGAGATGTACCTCCGAAACACCTTGACTTAAAATGCGTTCAGAGATATATTTCCAAAAAATATTTTTAGGTTTTCAAACTAAAATCTTAATCCACCCTAAAAAAAACGAGGAAAAAACAAATAATGATCAATTGGCCGGACTCGTATCGCTACCCGTAGCCTAATATATATTCATAGTGAATTGTAATGTAAAAAGTCGTGAGACGATGGATATATTTTTCTTTTTAGAACCAAAGAGGACAAAACGGTGACGTTTTAGTCATTTAAAAAAAATTGAAAACGAAGAAAAAAGATCGAGTTGATACTATCAGCATCGTTGTATTTTTCTTGTTGCAGACTCTCACTCTCGCCGCCCTCCGTAGCCGCGCCGCCTTGGGTCGGGAGAAGGTCCGGCTGTCTCCTCCGATTGTTCTTTCTCTCACTCCTGCTGTGAGTCTCAGTCACAAAAATGAAGATGGTTTCAATAGCAATTAGGTCATTCAAAGGCAATTTGCAACATAGGGTTCATCACACTCCTTTCCTCAGAAACCTTTCTACTTGGACTTTTCCAGGTACCATTGTTAAAACCTTCATGTTTTCTGTTATAAAGGCATAGTCTGTCTGTGGTTAGGATGTTTTGAATTTGTTCTCTGATGATCCTCATGGTCACCTTATTGAGCAGGAAATGGAGCTGGTAATCAGCAGGTTAACAAGTCAGAGTCTTCCGAGGATTTTGAGCAGCGAATATTTAGTCCTGGGGGAAGTTCCAAAACAGATGCCATTTTAGATAGGCTCAATCAACAAGCAAGGGCTCGAGATAGATCTGCTGGGACTTCCCACCTGTTGGATGATCTTGAACAAAGTTTTGATACATTATCTGATGGAATGGATGGGAAACTCAATACTGCTGCCAGATACTTTGAATTTGATCCTGAAGTAATCGACAACGATGATTATTCTTATCGATATGATACCACTTTTCACCAGGGATCAACATATACTACAAAGGTATGCTGCTTCATCACTTATCACTCTGTTCGTATTTACTATTACATACTTCTCCTGTTTGTTGCCAAAACCCGTTTGAGCAAAAACACAGTTCTCCTGTTTGTTGCTCAAAAGAAAAAAATATTCATTTAAATTATTATGATAATATTGATATTTTTAATCTATTCCATTGACACATTTAAATTACATAAAAAACACATCCATCTGTACTATTAAGATTCCGTATATGGACCGATAACGATAATGCTGTTAAGTTAATTTTAGCTCATCATTAGTTTCTTGTGTGTGCTTTAATCAATAATTTCTATGGTTATTTGTGTTTATGGAAATTTATCCGGCCTTTCTTTTGTACCAGCTCTATCGAATTAATTTTCTGATCTGTGCAATATCTTTCTTCATACAGGATCTTGATCTTACAAAACCTGCTGCACGAAAACCCGCCATAAGGACCGAATTCGTAGTATCCACCAAAGAAGTTCTTAGTCAAGCAGATTTCAGGGTTAGCACTTCTGTCAGAGTAGTTCTGTTATAAGATATTTTATATATCATAGGCGTAATTAACTAATTACTTTCTGTTTGCCATGCTAAATTGAAAATTGTATGAGTCATCCTTTCAGTTTTCCCCTAAATCTTATGCCTTGCTTCTTTATACCTTAGATCCAGTTTGGCATCCCTTCAAAATTGTATGAAAAATTCATTTCATATGCAACTCACATAAGTTTATTGTGATATTATCGTGCTGAAGTCCTCGTTCATTTATGGTGATTCAACTTTTATTTGTGTGAAGGCAGATGAAAGTGAGGAAATTACTTGCGTCACATCTGTTTAATCGTTGTAGCTCTTGATAGCGATGCTAAGATTTGCATATATACCTCGATATTGAAAAAAATGTTCCTATCAATGCTATTTCTGGAATGACTCTTAGCAGTATCATTGGTTTTATGCAGAATGTAAGATTTTTGGCAAACTTCATAACAGAAGCTGGAATTCTTATCAAGAGAAGCAAGGTAAGTTCTAATCTACTGTAGAGGATAGTAGATTGGTTAGGAATGATGAACTATTGAGAGGGGATATTTTACTATTAGTATTTGCTACTGCAGCCATTTTGCTTGTTCTGCTTGTTTAATCTTACCAAACTGCTTATTTCTTATCATTGTGACTAGACTGGCATCAGTGCAAAGGCTCAAAGGAAGGTTGCCAGGGAGATTAAAACTGCCAGAGCATTTGGCTTAATGCCGTTTACAACAATGGGTACAAAGTCATTTATTTACGGGAGAACTATGGAGAATCTTGACGACGACTTTTCATACAGGAGTGAAACTAGAAACATGCCTAGTGAAATTGATATTGAAGACCATGTTTAAGACAGTGGTGTTGGATTAGCTTGCATAATCTATTTTTGTTTCTCTACCTAGTTAAGTGACGGTTGAAATAAGTAAGTGATTTTGCTGGTATACCTTGATTACTATGGTGCCAATGTAGTTTTTCTATCTATTCTAAAGTCTTGAGCATTTCTTATTTGAATATGAATATTACAAAGATTGGTACTCATACTTGACAGTGTTATAAATTGCATTTCTTCATGTTTCAACTTTGCTGCTTGATTTTTGTTGCATGATATCTTGGATAAGCAAGGTCATATTTAGATAAGAGGAACCACCTTTTTCAACAGCTCTATTTGCAATGTCACTTAATTTACTAACCCTTTCTCTTATCTCTTTACTTTCTTCTCCCTCATCCATCACCATACATATTGCCTCCTTGATACCTTCCTTCTTCACCAAGACACCTACTTTCTCTTCCAGTCCCCACCTCATTGGAACCTCTACACCAAGGCTCACTCCAATCCTCAACACTTGAGTAACAAGCTTCTCATTCAAAAACTGGTCAGCAAATAATGGCCAAGTTGCCATTGGCACACCAGCACTTATCCCTTCAAGTATCGAATTCCAACCACAATGTGTTAAGAATCCTCCAATTGAAGGGTGTGATAATATCACCACTTGTGGAGCCCAACCTCTAATTATAAGGCCTCTCCCTTTGTTCCTTTCCTCAAACCTTTCTTCACTAATCCATTTTTCCAACTCTTCACTTTTATTTCCTTCCCTAATAACCCAAATAAATGGCCTTTCTGTTGCTTCCAAAGCCAAAGCCAATTCCATATGCTGTGAAGGAACTAAGTTGCATAAACTTCCAAGACAAGCATAAACCACAGACTTTGGCTGGTGCATATCTAGCCAATTTGAGCAATGATGTTCACTTATTGAAGCCATGTTACCTCTTTGTGCCTTGTCCAAACCATCTTTGTTGCAAAGTGAAACAGGTCCAACACACCATACTTTATCATTTCTTTCTTTCTTGAAATCCTTAACATATGCTTCCTCCAACTCCTCAAAAGTGTTAATGATTTCACCATATGACTTCACTTCAGCCTCATTCATCTTCTCTTTAAACTCCTTCAAAACATCTGGCATTGTTCCTCCTGGTACTTGCACTTTGGTAGCTCGAATTTGGTCAGGTATGCCAGGCACAGTGAAATACTCAGATTCTGAATTGACACTCTCAAGAATCTTTGATGTATTTACCTTGAGTATGCATTGAAGACAGAAGCAAGAAAAACCATGAAATGAAATCCTTGGAATTTGATGTTTTTCAGTTATTTGTAAAGTCCAAGGAATGCAAAAATCAGAAATAACACAACTTGGTTTCGGTGTCAATGCATCAAACAACTCTTGAGCTGGTTTTTGAAGCATGGAAATTGCATGGAAGAGGTTCGATCTCATATCTTTTGAATTCACCATGTCAAAATTCTCACACCCTTCTGGTAATCCAGCTTCTTTTGATGGAAAATTGAGTGTTAAGACATTAATTTTGAGGCCAGAAGAAACAGCACGAGAAAGAACAGAACTAAAACGTGATGCATTTTTTGGTGTAGTAAATATTGTTACAAGAACACCACGTTGTGCTAAGAGTTTAGCTATGTCTATCATAGGGATAATGTGTCCTTGGGCTATTAAGGGAAATAATACAAAATGAGGAACATCAATCATGGTTGGAAAATTAATGATGTTATTTTGAGGTTGAATTGAATTGAAGTGTGTTTGATATAATATTGTATCATTTTTTGTGTTTTTATAAAGATGGTATATGTGTTGTAGAAGGTTTTACATATAATGATGTAAGAGCACATGCAATGAAAATTGTAGTATATGAGGAAGTAGGGATAACATTCAGTGCATGGTAGTAGTGACAATGTTTACCGCAAATTCTCTCTAGGGATCATACAAAAGTGACAGACAAGTAACGTGAAGATTCAGTATATTCTACTTCAGATAAGTTAGAAAGAGTTTTGTGATCAAAATTCGAATCCTCATGTTCATATAACTTGTCCTTAGAGTTAAATCATTAATTCTTAAACACAAAAGACATTTAGTTGATGTTTTTAGATTCTTTTTTCCTTGCCTCTTTCACCTCCATAACTAAGATAAGGATAAGGATAATATTCTCTAGACAAAAACTTTGAGCTAAATATGTCGAAAGTATTTTTTATATTATACTAGCAACAAATTGAACCGCTCCAATCAATAATAATAATTCTTCAACAATACCAAAAAAAATAAATTGTTTATGTAGTTGGATTTAAAATGATCTACATTTCCGAGAGAAAACGACTTTTCAATTTACTATGTTGAAGAATGAATACAAGAATGATAATAAATTAGCCTTTAATATTCTAAAAAACAATATAATTTTTACCTCTTTCTCTTTTTCCACTATCATTTGTAATGTGTTTTTTCATTTGGAGAATATATTCTAAAAAACACTCATTCTTAATCTTGAATTCTAAAATTTTGTTTGGAAGTTTATAGAAAAAGGAAGGGAGACATTTGAAAAAAAAAATAATTGAGTGAAAAAAATAGAGATTTAGGCGGGAGAGTTTTGAAAGATTTATTTTTATTTAAAACTTAAAAATCCTATAATTTAAAAAACTAAAAAAATAGTATTGAGGAATAGGTTTGAAAAGTTCAGACAAATTATTCAAATATAATCTTTATTGTTATATTATTTTAAAAATTAAAAATATATTAATGCTAAATCCTCTTTTATCATTTTATAAAAGATAATTCTTTCAAAAAATATTTAAAAATTATTCTTTATAAATATTTTTTAAAAAATTATTTTCTAAAACCCTCACTTCACCTTCTCTCATAATTTCCCGTGCCTAAAAGTTTTTTATTTTATTTTTATAGTAAACAACATCATACATTAGATAAAATACATAGAGTACAAGCATAGTGAAAGAAATTGTGTTAGTATTTTCCATCCACATTTTAAAAACAACATTAATAACTAAACCAATTTAAATTTAGACAACAATTAACTTAGACAATTTAGAAACTAATATAATATTGTTAATTAAATTCCTTAATTCAAGCAACTAAACGAAATGATGATATGTGAGTTTAGGAACTATAATTTTTAAATTTATCCAATCAAGAATCATTTTTTAGCGTGGGATACACGATTTGATTATACATGTTCTCGAGGTTGATTAATCTCACAATCTATGAAGGAATAATTTGTTGAGTGAAAAAGACAGTTTGATTTGCAACAACCATCGTTAGATTCTCACTCTTAAACATATTTGTTTCATCCAATTATCTTTGAGATATTTTATTAAACACCATGAATACAACCTTAAAACAACTTAAACATAAGAAAACACGTATACTTGAACCAAGTAAGAAATCAAGATAATAATACCTATAACATATACACAAAAACAATATCTTAGAGATTTCACATCTTCTAGTGGTGGAGGTCATTTTTCATGTCTGATCCACTTTGGTCCCTTGATTGGCGACGATAGTTTTAGAGTTGCAAGTATTTAGTGATTGTTGGCAAAGAGGAGGAAAAACATGATGGAGATTGGAGGTAGAAAGAGGCAAGGACCCATTAGAGATGAGTGACTCAAAAGAATGAAAAGGAAATAAGAAAAACCTACAATAGAAGATAAACCACCACTGCAAAGAAAACAACCTCCATGTTAGCGGAGAGAAGCTCCGATAGTGGAGAAGAGACCCTTACAAAAAGAGAGGTGCGCTCACCATACATAAAATACTAGACAAAATACTAGACAAACAAAGAATAAATTATATTGTACATATATAAACAGAGTACAAATAATACAATAAACTTTTACAAGAATGTTTAGTTCTACTTTTGAATTGATTTTACATGTATAAAATTAATTTTAAATATTTAGTTGGTTTTAAGTATAATTGATGTTGTTTATATTTTAATTTAAAGTTATAAAAGAGAAATTACCCACTAATTAAACCTAAGATAAGAGAAACAAAGGATATTTGCTAAACTCATAAAAATTATAATTGGAATGAATAATTTCACCTAACCAAGAACATCTTCAAACAGTAACCTTAATGTTCCAAACGACATCTAGAATATTCCAACCACTGTTACGGAAAACAATTTCATTCTTAAGAATCCATATATTCCAAGTAATAGTAATCCAAATGCAACCTTATTTTCCCCTTTTCACCTTTTTAGACTTGCAATACTTGTACCATGTCAACAAACTCCCTTTCGAATCATCATCCATCCAGTTCGAAAAACCAATCCACTCCGCAATATCTCTCCATATCAGTTTAGAGACAATACATTTAAAAAAGAGTGATTCAAAGATTCAACTTCTATCACACAAAAAGCACACTTTTGAGCATCAATAGGGAGATCAATACCTCTAAGCTTCAAGAAATCCTTCGTCGGGAGCCTATTGATAAGAAATCTCCACCCAAAAGCTTTTATCTTAAACGGAACCACCATTTTCCACACTAATTGCAAAGCTCTGTCAAATTTGTTAATTGGACCATAAAGGATTTTCGGGCCTGTTATTGCAGCGTAACAGGAGCAGACCGAAAATTTAGCGTTACCTTCTAAATTCCATCCCACCAAGTCATTCCCAGTCGGACTGCAAGCAAATCCATCTAGCAGAGACTGCATCTCCATAGTTCCAGCTTCCAAGCCGAGCTGTAGCGCAACAGAATAGGGGATACCGAACTCGCCCAAATTCCAAACGTCGTCATTCCAATCCCCTATCCCAGCAGCCAAAACCACCTATAATAGAGAAGAAGAAAAAGGAGCAGGTAATGTATCCTTTAATATTGTATCCCGGATCCAGGCAGAATGCCAAAAGGCCATAGTGTATCTTCTAGCAATTTCGAAATTGTAATTTTTGAAAATTGCATCAACAATCTTCTTCTTGTTTAAGAAAATTATATCCTTCCACCAAGAGGAAGTGGAAAAAGGAAATTTTTTGGGGACTTCACAACAGACAACCTGTAAACAAATATCACCATATCACGCTCTCAAAACATTGTACCATAAAGAATCCAAACCTTTTAAAATCTGCCACCTCCATTGTTGAGAAGAGCCAAGTTAAAATCTACAATACTTTTAAGTCCAATTCCACCTTTGTTAATAGGAAGACAAACATATTTCCAATTTCCTCACTCAATCATTTGACTATAAGAACTAGTGAGAGAAAGTTAAAATAAACTTAGAGAGAGAATATGTGTGTGTCAATACACAAATTCGTATTCCAAATAATTTGAAATGAAAAAGAGAGTCTCTACTTATATGCTTGAGGTTCCGCAATAAAGGAAATAGAATTTAAGTAAAAAGTTTTTATCTAATCGATTGAGACTTTTTTGCTTAAATTTTATTTAAGTAAAGATTTTAAAAATATATATAAAAGTCTAAGATATTAGCTTACTTATTTACATCTTAGAACTTGTCCGTATTGTTGAAGAGAAAATGAAAAAAAAAGTACAATGTCTAATTTAAAAATAAACTAGAATAAACACATACATAAACCTAAAAAAAAAGAAGAGAGTTGGTCGGATATAACCTAGAACTAATGCAATCAATTCATTATAAAGTGTAGGTGTTTAGGTATTGGCTTGCATTTTTGGTAAATCCCAAGTGTATGTGTGAATGTCATGACTGATGTCATAACATTCTAGTTCAGTTTGTACTAACTCATTAGGTACCTTTGCAGAAAAATATTGTAATTCAAATACTGATGTTTATAAGTGTGTATCTGAGCATTTTTGCAAAATGATCACATTTTGCTAAATCAGTAGACAGGTTTTCTCAGATGTCATAACAGATGTTATGACATCCTGTTCTGAACTAACAGGATTGCAGGATTGGATAAGTCTGAGTTTTTTCAGGAAATAACTCAGTCCTTTCTGAACAGAATCCTGCGTTTTCTGAGGGGTAACCTAACTCAACCCTAACCTGGTTAATAAAGTCTTGTGACCTGATCTTTAGGTCAAAACGGAATTAACCCTAGGTTTTTGGAAACCCTAACTGAAGTTGCAGCTGCTATATATTCAACAGAGTTGCTGTTTTTCATGGACGGCTTTTATTGATTAGAAGATCATTTGTAATCTGTATAGATTTGTTTATTGTACTCCAAGCAATTATCATTGTGATAAGTGCCTTGGAATAGGTTTCAAATTGTAAGGGTTGTGTAGCACTCTAAGCTTTGAAGCAAGAGTGCTTGAATGTTCTTTGACTAAAGCTGTGAAGCAGAGTCAAGTTAGTTGTGTACATCACTCAAAGCTGTGAAGCAAGAGTGATTGTGTTGCTTGATTAAAAAGCTGTGAAGCTTAATCAAGTGTTTGTCTTTGAAGAGTGTCTTCATCAATTCTTAAGTCAAATTGGTTTATGTATCACTGCTGTGATTGAGGGGGAGTGAGTAGGAACTCAGGTTTAAGTTGTACTTAGATTGGAATTGCATTGGGTAGGTCTTAAGTGAAGGAGATAAACTGGTTGGTTTATTCCTGAATTAAAATCTCTTATAGTGGATTTCCTCCCTGGCTTGGTAGCCCCCAGAGTAGGTGTTGTTGCACACTGAACTGGGTAAACAATTGACTGTGTTCTTTATTGCTTTTGTATTTACTGTCATATAGTAAGTCAGATACGGTGCCATAACATTGAACGTGACATTGAGTATCTGCAGCCA